ACACGCCGCACACCCCGTCTGTTCTCTTCCTCTGCAGCGGGTGCCTTCAAAACAGCCGCCGGACGCCCCGGCACTCCCCTGCCATCGCGACGAAGAAATAAAAGAATCCTCCTCGTGGACTACCGGTGCCTCTAGCAGGAAGAAGAAGAATGAAGGCATGCCAACCGCACAGCCAGCAGCGGGAGCGGGAGCAAACAAAACACAGAGACACGCAGCGACGGTGGCGGACACGGCACCAACTAAAAGAGAGCTGCAGTCATTTGACTCGAAAAAAAAAGGAGAACAAACAACACAAAATGTTTCGGCAGATGTTTTTTATTTCACGTGTCCAGAAGCAGAAAAGAGCAGCGTGTATTCATTGTCCGTGCGGAACACACAGGAAAAAAAAACTGCCTGGTCGCACATTACGCATTTGCCCCTTACGGTCTCCGCGGCCTCGTGTTTCGTTTGGGCACTCCGTGCGACGCACAGCAACGAGACCAGCATCGCGTGTGTATCGGTGGCAGCAGCAGAGAGAAAAGGGAAGGGGCGCCACCCACTGAGAGCGTGCACGGAGTGACGATGCAAGAAAAAAAAAGAGCAAAAACATCCCTCACACCACAGTAGAGACGTTGGCCCAGAGGAAACACAAGCAAACTGAGCGCACAAAAAGTCTGCGTCGTCCCTTCCAGGGTGTGTGAGTGTGTGCCTGGTTGCGCCTCATCATTACCCAGCCTCACAGGCAACGGCAGCGGTAGCGGTGTGGCATGCACCCACACAGCTGCGATGTCACTGCTGCCCACGTTGTCTGTTGTGTGTTTCCCGGCGCTGAGACTGTCGGAGGTCACAGTGGAGCAAACCCTCTTGCAGGCGTTTACTTTCCGAGTTGAACCCGAACTGCCTGCGCCCCCAGCAGCAGCACGGGGAACAGCAGCTCTCGCCCACTGCTAACTGCATCTTCTTCTGCTGGAGTGTCCCCTGCAGCAGGTGCTGAAGATGCTGCCGGCATTCCTTGAGGCCGTGATTCAGGCCAATTTTCTCTGCTCCTCAACAGTTGGGCCGTAACTTGCAAACACCCAAAATGCCAAGGTGCACGTCACCCACAGCAGCACGGTAATGAAACAACGGAAAAAGAGGCTCCTCAACACCCTGCCACTTTCGCCGCAGCGCAATGCCCTGCATCGCAAAAGGCGCTGTGAATGCAGCATGCCCCCGTGGCACCGGCCCTCCCGCAGCGCGATCCACAACGGCTGCCCAAGTACGTCGATTCGGCAATGAAGCAGATGCTGTCACCACCGTCGCCCGCAGTCGCCTCGGGAATGTCAAAAGGTTCAAGCCGGTTTGCATAATTTGTCTGTTTCCTCTAGCCACAAACACGTCAACCCAACTCTTTGTCATTACCGAACCACGGACACCTCCACCAACGTATTCACCAGCGACGCACCGCCACTACGCACCGCCGGTGCCCCGCAGACGGAGGAGCGTCAGGGCGCACACAGCACGGCGCCGCACAGTAGCCGTCACCATCCGTCGTAGCAGCAGCAGCAGAGTCGCAGGGGTCGGTAAGCTCCGAGGAAGCAAGGAAAAAA